ACACCTTTCCTTACCAGAATCGATGAAAACGTGCGTAATAGGGTTGCTCGAAGCCCTTATCACGAGTGTGGCGTTTATTTCTCCATACCACTGCCATTAAAGGTTTACTGTAAAGGATGAACGTGGGAAAATGAGTGATCAGCGCAGATGACCATGGTGTCCTACGTTAGCGCCGGCGGCAAGAATAAATGCTATATTCGTAATAAGGATGTCAAAAACTAAAAATAACTTCCGTTTACAAGGCTCAGCGACGGTTTTGGCCCAAGCGGATGTGATATTCATGTTCAGGGGTCAAATTACCACGAGGGACAAGTTTTCAGCGAATTTGGTGGTACAGGATATTTTGAGCGGGGAACGGCCATCAGCTTTTTGTAAGAGAAGCTGTGAATGTGATGCTAAGTGTTCAGAGGTCGAAGTACCCCTATGAAAAAAGTTTTCAACCATATCTGCCCTTGTAGAAAAGTTGGTAAAAAACTGGCAATAGTGCCACAGAATTACTCATGACATTGCAGTGGAGTCTTTACACATTACAGAGGTACCGTGTTAAAGCATTATCCAGATGAAAATGCCACGGGACTTTCTTCTTGAAAACTGCCGGACAAGTTGGCAGAATAAAATAGTTTTGTATGTTTCCCCTTCACAGGTCCCGCATCATTCCGTGACTAATGCCCTGCCTCTTTTGTTAGTGTAGTGGTTTTGATTACCCACATCCTTATATAAGGTTCTAAATGAGGGATTAGCTTTGCCGTGTGCTCAAAAGTGCCTGCTTGCTTCTGTTGGTTCCGTGCGATCCGAGGAATAATGACGAGCATAGTTTTTTTTGAACAAAACCGGTACGAGTGCGAGATTTATAGTCAGCCTTATTCGCAGCTTCAAGGATGAGCTCACAGTTGAAGTTCATACTACTCTAGGCATTTCAGGACCAGTGCCAATGAGGAGACAAAGTGCGCAGTGGGCAACAACGCTCGAGTTATATCGGTAAGGCAAATTCCCCATAATCTCATTGCCGATGCTGCTGTGCTGTCTTGAAACCTAACATTCTTATTTAATTGGAGAGAATGGAGACCAAACTACTGGAACTGGGCAGCGATGGTGCCTTCATTAATTCTCGCCTGCGTTCGAGCATTTTTTTTTGCGAAAGCTAAAGTTAGCTATCTACCTAGCATTTTAAATCTTCTCAGCGAAATGCAGCGTCTTGAAGAGTTTAGTGTAGGTGTCGATCGGTGCTAAGAACACCAGTTAGACACCTATTCTTTTCGTCCGTAACGTTCAAAAATGTTCGAGCTAACAGCAGCCGCAACACATACCCGCGGTACCCACGCAATTTTAGCGTCGTTGTCGTGAGATACTGTGCTTAGTGTGCATTTAGATTTATTTACGGCTCCTTTGGATTACGGTGTATGATTTCTCGCCTACTGAAGTTACCGTACTGTGAAAGCAGAAGGCAACCCGCCCTGTATAAGAACCCTGTTAGGTCCAAACATTACAGTAGCATCCGCTGCGAAGAAACTAAGGTAAGAGTGGGAAAGAGAAGTAAATCAAAGAAGTAAACCATGGTATCGCCACAAAATATAAAAATGTCGAGACCTCATCACTATACAGCTTTGGAGAATTGAGAGGTGGATCTAGTGCACGGGCGCGGGGTTAAGTTGTCGTCGCTAAGCCGTGGCGCTCTTATCAAGCGCCTTCAAGTCGCGAAAGTGGTACATGCTGTAGGATTGTGGATAGTGCCTTTTGTGCAGGGAATGGCTTCTGCTCCGGGTAATCGCGGGCGCTGTCTTCAAATCTTATCACATCCTTCACAACCCTTCTGTTGTGAGCATACTATATTTCTGTGGATTGAGGGCGCGCCACCATGGTTTAAAACGCTCATTTAAAACGCTCACGTCAGATTCCGTTCGTTGGATAGTATTGACTCAAAGACAGTGTACGATTGCAAGAAAGTACCAGATGAGACCCAAACTGTCTTAAGCCTTCAAATACACAGGCAAGTGGAAGTGCTTTATAGGACATCGAAATAAAGTGAATAAATGCAACAGTGAGATCATTTTGGCACTTTTGCAACCAATGCACGTAATCGTTTCAGAATAATAGAATTATCACAATAGCAACTGTCTTCATTGAACGGCGACTGAATACGTGCTGCCCCAAAAATCAGCAGAGAACCGTCATCGCATTCCTTGACGTCCACGTGGTTCGCTCGTAACCACGATAGAAGCCGAGTTCGCCTAAATGAAGCTAAGTCAGTGAATAATGCTTGAGGAATTTTTTCAGCGCATTTTCGGGGACGCTTAGGAGGATTTCTCGCCAGACACAGAAGTCTTTCCTACCAATTACTGCCATATCAGAACGGCACCAAATGGTAAAAAAGGTTGCCCATGTTGCGCTTCAATCCCTGCTCCTTCACATGCTCTCGTTTGCAGAGTTAATGAGATATATAGGCATTTTTTGTAGTACGCGCTAATGGTTACCTTTCTTTCAACTCTTCAGCGTCCACTTCGTCCACATTTCGCATGCCAAACATATTACCCATCATGTCAGCCAATTCAACACTATATTGTTGGCAGTGAGGAGATGACTCGTCGATCATGCTCACCGAGATGTAGCCTTCACGAGGTATCCATGAAACCTGGCAAGGCTCTGGAACAGAAATAGGAGCGATAGAAAAGCTGGCACTACATACCTTTTCACTGCCTTACTTTCAGAAGCTGAAGTTGACTTTTCATCATAATTTGCCTCA